ACCCGCAGATCATGGCCTTAGGCCAATAATCCGTTTCACAGACGTGAGGAAATGCGGTGTGAGTCATATAAACCGACAACTTGAAGTTAAAACTCATTGTCGTGTGAAACAAACACAACATAACCTACAGTCGACAACAACAACAAGCTCGAGCGACTGACGATTAAGCGGCTGCAGACGACGGCGGCCGGCTAGCTTTTTTCGGGTTAGCAAACAGCAAGCAAACGTTCCGGATCAGCTGAGCCCCCTACTTTGCTAGAGAGGGGAGCGAGAGGGATGAACCGAGGAACCCTCAGACGGCAAGCAGGAAAGTTAGTTCCTCACCAGCAACTACCACGACAAGTTTGAGTTAGTCCCGACATCGTGATTGGTGAAGCATTAGTTAACTCGCGTGATACTTCAAGTCAAATTGTAAGTCTTATATTTCAATAGATATAAGGTAAACCGAGTTAACTATTGCCAGGGTGTAAAATACTAGTTTTTAAAATCTGTTTTACTAGGTTTTATATTTTCACTCCTGTTAAACCAATGGATTTAGGCCAAGTTGACTTGATTATGATGGTGTGTTAAACCCATAACGTAACGAATAAATATTACGAGGTCAGTGTATTTTTAATCCATTTTTAGTAAGCCCAAAACAATGTAATCTTATCATATACGAATTTATTAGTAGTAGCCAGTGACTACTAAGATTAGTTGTGCTAGTTGAGCACGTCCCGGCCGGCACGCATGGCGTTTTGGTAGTAGTGGCCTTAGGCCTGTGTTTTACGATGCTTTATGGTTTTAACGACGGGTTTGCCATAAAGCCTTTGAGATTAATGCAAACCAGAAGTGGATAACTCGTTTCGGCCTTAGTTGCTTTATTAATAGTTGAGTTTGTTTGCTTCGTTGGAATGGCCTCCAACTTTAGCTATTTTTGTTTTAAGTAACAAGGCATTTTATATTCAGTCTGTCTGGTGATATAATCTCTGTTTAACGATGTTTGGATGGTTAGGGTCATGTGAGATAATCCGTGACTAACCGTTGAATTATTTCATGTTTAATGATTTGCATGTGTTCTAATATTTTGTGTTATGAGTTTACGACAGGTGATGAGATTGTTTTGGTGCGAATTGGATAGCGTTGGCCTATGGTGTGAAACCATTTGACGTCTGGGACTGGCGAGTCGGCTTGGACTCAGCGTGTCTTTGGCAGCTGTGGTAGTGTGTTGAACCTACCTTTGGTGACGACCATGGTACTCACGACGCTTCAGCAGCTGTGGTAGCGTATTAAACCTACCTGGAGTGATGACCAACTCACGACGCTGGAACCATCGACTCGTTAGCGGACGGAAGATTGACGTAGAACAGTCAGCTAGCCTACTACGATTCTCGAACGGCTGGGGTTGTGTCGTTGTGTGATAAACCAACCAGAGGAATTCACATCACGCTGTTGGCCAGCTTCGGCGTTCTTTGATTGATTATCCAGCGGCAGTGGTTGCGTGATAAACCAACCATTGCAACGGAGAACAACAGTCAGCGAGACAACCGGGGCTTGGTCAACGTGTACCCAACGAGTGTTGAACCGTTGTGGTAGATCTTGGCGTGGTGTAAACCCAAGGACTATCCGCATCGGGGGTGGCAAACGACAACTACAAACGGACGGCCAGCACGGGACTCACTGCGGCGGACGGGGCAGTGACACGGGACCGTGTGATAAACCGGATCCCCGAGGACTACATGCGAAGGGTGCAAGTAGCTCGCATCGGGGGTGGCACTCAACAACGACGAACGGACGGCCACCACGCAGATCACTGCAGCGGACGGGGCAGTGACACATGTCCGTGTGAGAAACCGGACACTCAGGACGTCAGCGACGAAAACGTACGAGTAGGCTCCCCGGCTGTAGTACCGATATAGGGCGTGCGGGCTGGAAAACCCAGGCCGCGGTGAAGACCAGGTGAGGATGGCAGAGCCCCAGCCTACGACGACGAGTGGGGGGGTGGAACGCACCTCAGACTGTAGCCGTGGTCGACGGGTGAGCTCGAACCCTATGCTACAGTGGCGGGTTGAGTCGGCTAAGTTCAAGGTACCGCGACATCACGAGTCTGTGTGCAGAACCAGACAGACACCCAGGACGGAGGCGGAGACCGACGGGACCGAGGACTACCGGCTGTAGTCTCGATTGGGGCCACGATGGACGCCCAGCCTGCAGTGAAGGCGTAGTAGCTGCGACGTTAGGTGGGCGATCCGAACCCCGACTACAGCGGCAGGCGGAGCTCCCCAGGTACCGCTACGACGCTGGGATCTGTGTGTTGAACCAGATTCTCCCGGGGCTACATGTGGACTTGTAGACGATTCGGGGATGACGACTAACGACAATGGAAGGTCATCACGTCTCACTGCGGTGGAAGGGGCAGTGACAGGGGTCCGTGCGGTGAGCCGGATTCCCATACCATGACGACAACGACAGGGGTCCGTGTGATGAGCCGGATTCCCACGATACGACACCAGCGACTAGTGTTCCTGCAACGAGGAGGACACACCTACGACTGAGACGACAGGTATCCCTGCAACGTGCAGGATTCCTAGAACACGGCAGAGACAGGGGTCCATGCGATGAGCCGGATTCCCATACGATAGTCTCAAGCCCCCACGTAGTACGTCACATTTATGGCGCCCGAACAAACGACAGCAACGAAAGGTATTCCTGCAACGAGCAGGATACCAATACGACGACAGTGACAGGGGTCCGTGCGATGAGCCGGATTCCCATACGACAGCACCGACAGGGATCTGTGTGAGAAACCAGATGCCCAGACGACAGCGGCGACGGATGGGAAGTATGACCAGACTCTGCAGTAGCATCGACAGTGGTCACAACAGACCCAGCCTGCGACAATGGCCAGGTGAGGCCGGATGAGCCCCAGCCTAATACGACAAGTGGGGGGGCGGAATGAGCCTCAGCCTGCGGCTGTGACGACAGGAGAGCGACCGTGGACCTCAGGCTACAACGGCAGACGGAGTCAACCCATACTTGGTGTGTTGAACCCAAGCGCCTGGCTGGATGTCGTGTGCTGAACACGAAAACGATTTCGGGGTGGCGACTAGCTTCCATGGAAGGCCACCACGTCTCACTGCGGTGGAAGGGACAGTGACCGGTCCGTGAGGATTAATGCGGACTACGGCGACATCTGTGTGATGAACCAGATGCTCGAGATCTCCGACGCGGTAAACCTCAGCCAAGGCGACGGCACGGCTGAGCGTGAAAGTAACATCTTGACGCGAACGCTGGAAGGCCAACCCAAATCTCCATACTGAGGCCTATCCGGAAACTAAATGTGCTGTATAGCACGTGGTACTTAAACCTGGCATGTAAACTAGTGTTATATGTTTCAGTGTGGAAAAGGACGTCACATAGGTGGGGTTTGTAAGTCTGTTCAGCTAAGCTCAAATGTCTTCCTAAAGTCATAATCAAATTTACGTAGAAGATGAATCGTTAATATCAGACTTTCAGACAAGAGTCATGATTGAAGGCACAAAGGGCATTAGCATTTTCTTGAAACGTTGACACAAAGGTTCGGAGTTGCTTAACAGAACAACCGTGCATTGAGGGAAGATCTAAAATGTTGTTGACATGTAGGGTAAAAAGCAACCTTGAATTATTGTAACGTTGATGGAGTTGCTCCCAAGCAATGTGATAGTTGGCTGTGGTTACTGGTAACCCCTTGATTAGATTTAGAGGTTCACCACTGAGACATAATGACAATAGATAGGTACATTTTTCTCCATGTTTGAGTTCTTATGTACGGAATTTTCAAATAAGTACGGTGTTCAAATAAGTTCACAAAAGGAAATCCATTTTTTGGGTTGACCAGAAAAGGTACAAAGATCAATTCGAGGGAGACGAAGACCACAAGTGGCTATTTCAGAAGTAGTGTTACTTGTATGGGATTGTTCTAAATTGGGTTTATTGACCAGAGCAAGTAATAAGAGCAGTAGAGTGTTTAAATAACTGCACATACACTGTGAATTTTCAAAAATAAATCATTGATTTCATCTTGCAATTGGATGACTTGATCATCATCGATGTCTTCAGATATGGGATCCGAATTAAAAAGTCTAGTTATGGTAGATTCAAACTCGGTATTTTTCCTAGTGGCGGTTTCTTTAATAGCCCTAATTTTTTCAATTTGAACTTCAGTTAATTCTTTGGAACCAATTACTTGAAGTGCATTGACTTGAGATTCCAGCTGAGTTAAACGAGCTTTTGTGAGTTTGGCTTGTTTCATAAATGTAGAATACTTGATTGAAGTCATAATGTATGTTGAGAATAAAGAATATCTTTGTGTACTTAGTTGTTTGTAAAATTCAAGTAGCCCAACTTATTTTAAAATGAAAACAAGTAGACCTATACTGACATGAACTAAAGTTAGTTATTCTTCAGTGGAATATGGCGTAACAATGAGAAGGTAGGCCTATAAGTTTAAGTAACATAAACATGTACAAAGGTAGCCTAATAGAAAAACCAAAGAAAGAATACTTTGAAGTAAAGAATTACCGAACAGAATGAACACAATAAACTACCTAAAATGAGGTCAAAAAGTTGTTAACAATGAAATAAATCCAAGCAGTTTAGTATAGCCTATACCAATAGAATCAATTAACTAGGCCTAAACGTAATATTGTAATAATGACAAGTATTTAATTGAGCCTAGCCTATTTGTCTATTTAATAAAAAGGATGAGAGCAGTTTAAAGAAGTTAAAAGAAGAACAAATCAAAAGTAAGTACCTGCATGGATACTTTAACTTTTACATTTGTTTATTTAAAGGACAAAGCCCTCATTTTGATATACCTACCAACCATTCTATGTATGTTTAAGAATTCCATCTTCAAACATCACCTCTTATTACTCAAACAAGTCTTGTAAACATGTAAAAACGTAAATAGCTTAACATTATATTTTGAAAGGTTAATTATTATTTTATTGTAATTTAATTATAAATACAAGATTGTGTACCTGTGCTGCTGAGCTAGTTACTGAGGAGGAGACTAAGTCCCCCAGGAGAATGTCTCCTGTCTGACAACTCCTGTATTCCCCTCATCCTGCAACACAAAATACTGTCAATGACAATTATTGTAATCTTAATGAAGAACTGGTAACATTGGTTAGAGCAAATAAGAGCAAAATATTCATTATTTAGAAACTAAAAATAAAAATAATATTTAGTTTGTAATATAAAAAATACAATAGTTATTTGTGTAACTAGTCCGTGAAGTGGCACTTTGCTGCACATGAGAGAAATGTTTACGCACGAGCCGCAAACGAATGTGGAATGTTTCTCGAGTGCAGCAAAGGCACTTTGCACTTGCGTTACACATTATATTTTTCTTACGGTTACCTAAGAAAGCGGACTTTCTTGTACCAATTATAACACGCAAAGAAGCTAATTGCTGCATTTACTTACTTTTGCCGCACTCATTTTACTTTCACCGCACTCCAGTATTCCAACCAAACAACACAAAAGTGTGCTTTTATTAGTCACGTAATACATGTACACTTGAAAATAAGTTGGCAACACTAAATATACTACGACTACGACCAGCTGGTGCAGTGTTTCATATTTCGTTCAACGCTTGGATTTAACCTAACCTTAAACGTGCTGTTTAGTATTTGAAAGACTAATTATTTATATGCTTTATAGTAACTGTAGGAAAAATATAATGGGTAACGCGAGTGCAAAGTGTCTTTGCTGCACTCAAGAAACTTTCCACACTCTCCTGCGGCTTGTGCGTAAACATTTCTGTCATGTGCAGCAAAGTGCCATTTCGCACACTAGTTACACAAATAACTATGTCCTACAATTACTATAAAGCATGTAAATAATTAGACTTTCCAACACTATTCAACACCTTTTTAGGTTAGGTTAAATCCAAGTGTTGAAAGAAATGGGAAACGCTGCACCCGCTGATCTGAGTCATAGTAACTTTAAGTGTTGTCAACTTATTTTCAAGCGTACATGTATCATGTGCCTAATAAAAGCACATTGTGTTTTGTTTTTTGGTTGTAATATTGGAGTGCGGCAAAAGTAAGTAAATGCAGCAATTAGCTACTTTGCGTGCTATAACCAGTACAAGGAAGTTCACTTTGTCAGGTTGCTGTAGAAAATAGTTATTTGTGTAACTAGTGGTGAAAGTGGCACTTTGCTGCACACGAGAGGAATGATCTCGAGTGCAGCAAAGGCCTTTTTCACTCGTGTTACACATTATATTTTTCCTACGGTCACTATAAAGCATATAAATAATTAGTCTTTCAAACACTATACAACACGTTTTTAGGTTCAGCTGGCAACACAAATGGTGCCCTAGAGAAAGTAGTACCCGCGGTCCGTATCACTCCGCTATTTTTCCTCGGCAAGAAATGTGCTCCGCGTTTGAAGAATATAGTTCCGTATGTTTTTGTAATTTGAAGTGGTTTCCGCACCTAAAAAAAAATGCTTTAAAGGTATTTTCTTGTTTATTAAGATCGTAGGAATGTTTTAAAACGTTTAAAAGAAAAGTCCAGAAAGTTCAGAAATACCGAAACTATAAACACGAAATGACAGGTTAAATCGTAGTTATAATAGTCAATCAGCTGCTCATAGTATTATTAAGTGTTGCCAACCTATTTCCAAGCGTACACGGATTACGTGCATAATAGAACCACGCTGTTTTGTGTTGTTTCGTTGGAATCCTGATGTGCGGCAAAGTATAAACCGGACGACAAAGTATAAACCGTACGGCAAAGTATAAATATGCAGCAATTAGCAGCTTTCTGTACTATAAACAGTACAAGGAAGCCAACTTTGTCGGGTGACTGTAGGAAAACAATAATTTTAAAGAAGTGCAAATTGCAGTATTCACTTCATAATCAATACTAGTGGCTTGTAGGGACATACGTCCCTAAAAAGCTCAAATGGAAAAGAAACTATTGTAATATTTAAACAACCTCAGAATCAAATTATCTATGTGCCAGGATAGATATCCCAGTACAACATATCTTTTGTGAAAAAAAACAGTTTGTTGTTTTTCTTTGTTTGCTTTTGTTGATGTTATTTTCAATAAATAATTTGAATGATTCCAGAGGTTTAACTGCTAAAGGCAGCAAAAATGTTTATGAATAAATATTGGTTTATAAAGGTAGCTTTGGTAAAGGCATCCCATTGACAGAACTTAACCCTAAATTTGTTTCTGATCAACATTAAAAAAAAAAACCACTATTAGCCTAGTGTAAGTATATGTTGCATATGTGTATATGTGCCTTGGTGGTAATCCTCATAAAGGTGCGCTTGATTTACATATTCTACCAAAAATGGCCTTATCAACGTCTAATAACTAACTATTTTGTGACTGGTTAGGGTTCCATTACCCAGTTATCGAAACTAATCACGACATAAATTTTTTTTGTTAGTTTTAAGGAACGGAAATTACCTCTATGTTCTACTGTTATATATAGGTGCTCCCTTTACTACCGTGCATGCTAGGCTATATTATTTGAACCTTTTTTGCTTGGAGCAACAAACTACTTAAGTACTTAATGAACAAATACCTGTACGAACCTACTTCATCTTTATTCCCAAATTGTTTTCTAAAAGTAACTGTTGAGGTTATTCCACTTCATACAAAATATTGATTAAACACGATAATAAATCTCAAATATTAATGTTAGTAAATTTACAAAAAAGTGTGGATTAAATCTTTAACATATGTTTTGAAATCAAAACAAAGAAGATCGTCATTTAATCTTTCATCGTTTATTGAAAACAATTTATTTCAACTTTGACATCAATAAAAAGTCTTGATTATTATGGGTAACGTTATCCCTTTATATAGTTGGTTTTATATAGTATACATTACATTGCAGAATTGACTGGCAAGAGTAATCCATATGCAATATTGCTTACTTGCTCGTATGAGTTTAGTGCTTTTAAGGTAGCTTGACTATCAGTGTAGATGTTAATTGTTTTGTCTCTGATCTCTTTGTTAAGATTTTTTCAAGCACAAACCAAGATAAAACACAATTCAAGGATAATCTGACAGACTCTGTTTGTTATTTTGCTGATTATGAGACAAAAGCAAATGAACAGAAATTGAGAATATCTGAACTTCAACACGCTATGGAGGATTTAAGAAGACTATAACTCAATTAAAAAAAGAAATAGAAACTGCTTGGACTAAAATGAAGGATACAGAAAAACTCTGTAATAAATATAAGAAGGACATTTCAAACAGCAAACAATGGTTAGGAGATGAGGCGATCTCTTTTTTCTTGACAAATCATGTCCATAAATGTACAAAAGAGAAGAATGTCTACATCTTTGAGCCCTCAGTCACCCAACTCATTAAGCTAGCAGATTTGGACACAGTCAAGAGTCAAATAGTAGGACTAAACTTAAAGAAATGCAAGCTTATACTATTCCCCTTGAATAACAATCTACCAGTGGTAGTAGTGGCAGCCACTGGTCTCTTCTTGTACTAGACCTCACTCACAACACATGGAGGCACTATGACTCTCTCAACAAAACAAATCATGATAGTGCAGTTGCTGTGTCCACCAAAGTTAATAAAGTCTTTAAGAAGGACATAAAACTTGAAGAAGAAAAATCAAGTACTCAAAACAACGGACATGATTGTGGTGTACACATGCTAACAAACGTTGATTGTGTAATATCTAAGTCACAGACACAAACTTCCGACCCGCGCACTGCTAACAACTCTGAAAATACGGATCTTGTTCTACAAAAAAAGATTGAACTTTTAAATTTTTTTCTAGTTATGGGAGCAAACTATGCAGTAACCCACAGACTAATATTCCTATACCTTCAGTGAATATTGTTAGTAATGAAAACTACAATAGGAAATGTCCTAAGAAGAAAATGACTCAACAGAAAGAAAACAAAAACCAACAAAAGTATAAATCTGGAAATTTGAACAAATGGTGTATTGAGGATAGTGCAACCAAGCCTCAAACAAATCATCTTTCTACAAATGATATCCCGATTCAAAAACTGAAGCAGAGCAGAAAAGTTTTATGTGGTAGGCAACAGTCACGGAAAAGACATTAGATTAAAAATTCAACAACATCTACCCTCAGGCGCACATGTCATGGCCATAACTCGTCCTGGAGCACCATTTAAGTATGTCACCAGTGATATCCTGAAACTTACCACAGGCTACACCCATGATGATCATGTCATAATCTTTGCTGGTACGAATTACATTTTGCCTGACATGCAAAGGCAGTCTATACCCGACCTTGCAGACATTAAAAATATCGCCAAATCAACCAAGGTATCAGGAAGTGGTGAAGGAAGTAGTCAGGGTGTGCAGTCCGGAGTGTGGGAACCCTTTATGACAGTTAGATTATTGTATCTGCAATTCTAAAATGCTATGGGAAGGGAGGGAAACTGGTCCACAACGTAGGAAGTTGTAAAGGAAGTGGTCAAGGCGAACAGTCCGGAGAATGTGAACCCTTTGTGACAGTTAGATATTAGTCCTATAGAATATTACTAGCAGAGTACCCGTCCTTCGTACGGGGTTGGCATATAGGAATAAAATGCTTATTGCAGTTATACTCAAGCTTTGCGTTTTCAATGGGGGAGGACGCAGTTTGATAAAATTTGCTTCTTTAAATTTACACATCTAACATAGTCATAATGTTCTACTACTTCACCTAAACCACCTAAACAATGGAGACAGATTAATTACAAAACATTCGCAAAATATCACTAATTATTGATTAAATTAAAAACATAAAACAACTGTAAACAATCCTACTTTGACAGTTCTCATCGCATATCACAGCTTTTTGTTGCTGTTTCCCAATAAGCAAATTTTTTTTTTTAATTGTCAAGTCGTATTACAATTGTTGTATAACAATTTTAAAACCTTTTGATTTTAACTTCATATTGCAACAATTTTAATATAAGATTAAAACAATTTTAAAATTGTTTAACAATAAGTTTTTTCTGTAAAAAAAAATAAGTTTTAATACAAGCTGTAACTATTTTACAACAATTTTAAAATTGTTTAGCAATCAGTTTTTTCTAGTTTAAAAAAATAATTTT